CTGATAATTTCCACCACCTAAATGGAAGGATTAAACGGAGTTGTGTATTTTTATAGAGATTCGAATTTAAGACATAAAATTTTTAGAGAATAGTTTCACAATAATGTGAATATGCTTAATACTCCTACACTTGAAAATGATGAAAAGATCTGGAGAGATGACTCAGAGACTAAGAACACTGGCTGCTCTACCAGAAGACCTGGGATCAATTCCCAGCATCCACATTGCCAGTCACAACCATCTCTAACTCCAGTCCCAAGTAATCGGATGCCTTCTTTTTGGCTTCTTTAGAACCAGGCACAGACATGGTGCAAAGACATGCTTACAAACAAAAACACCTATACACAAAGAGTAACATTTTTAAATGATTAAGAAAATAATGTTTGTTTTGTACTACAAAAACAATAGAAAAGTTAAAAAGTCTCTGGAAATGCAATTGAAGCAATTATATTCTAAACAATTAAAGAATTATTAGAATTATGAAGAAATTGTAGGTCTAGCTAGGTATGTGATCACCAAGGAAAATATGGGAAACAACTGGTAATTGATGAACTGCCATCAAAAGTGTTAAGCCAACATAACAATATATTCCATTTAAAATAAAAAATGCAAACATTTGAAACAGATCTGTGTTACCACAGTTGAACTTCTTGGAAAACTTGTAGAGAAACTTTGTTCTGATGCCAATATATTTCTCATCCTCTTTGCTGTACTTCCCGACACATTGTTTTTACTTTTCCTTTAAAATTCTCAAAAAGTTAAGACGTTGCATTCTGTAAGAATGGTATCTTTTAAATTAGTTGCATCACAAGTAAAAGGACATTATGTTTAAAACATCAATAATTGGGCACCCTTCTTCTCATTGCTACTACAATGATCATCTCTTATCCGCCCTATGTTAATAGTCTCTTTTGTATTTCTTCTCTCCAAAGAAATCTGGGCTCTTTTTAGTTAAAAAGGATTCTTAGTACCTTTTCCGATCTCTTTATTTGTTATGTGTCTGTTTATGTTGTCTTCTTGGTTTAATGTTGGTATTTAAGATAAATCTAAAAGTTTGTTCATTTATTTTTACCTTGCCTAAATTAGCAGAGTACAAATTTTTAAAGTAATTCTCTTATTCAGAATTTCTTCAGTGATTAATGTAATGCTCCTCTGTTCATCCCTGATTTTGTTAATTTGAATCTTTTGCTGCTGTTGCTGCTGCTGCTGCTGCTGCTAACTGGTCAGTCTGTAGCTCTTATCTTCTCAAAGCACCAGCTCTTAGATCTGTTGAGTCTTTGTATTACTTTCTTTGTTTCTATTACATCAGTTTCTGCTTTTACTTTATTATTTATTGCCATCTACTGGATTTGGGTCTGGTTTGTTCTTGTTTTTCAAACTCTTTTGTTGTATCATTATAATAATCATTTATTTGTGCTCTTTCTGAATCTCAAATGTGGATCCTTAGAGCTAAAATTTTCCCTCTTAAGATAACCTTTAACGTGTCCCACAAGTTTTACTGTGTTGTATTTTACTTTTAATTTAGTTATAAGATATTTTTTGGCTTGCTACTCATTCAGTAATATGTTGTTTAATCTCCAAGAGTTTGTATACTTTTTAGAGATTCAATTTGCCGCTGACTTTAAGCTTTACTGCACTGTGGCTAGACAAGATACACAAAGATACTTCAGGTTTTTTTAATTTGCTAACGTGTGTGTGTGTGTGTGTGTGTGTGCACGCGCGTGCATGTGTGTTTGAGAACATGGTCTATTTTAGAGAAGGTTTCATTGGCTGTTGAGTTGATTTGTCTAGCTTTCTACTGCTGTGATGAAACATGGCCATAAGTAACTTGGAAAGAATTAGCACAGACCTTTTAACATATCTCTTTCCACAAGGCCACATCTAATCCTTTCCAAACTGTTCTACCAATTGCTTAGTGCTGAAGGGTGTACCATACTTGATTTCAAGATATATTGTTACTTGCATGAAACCAGATATATACATGGAAAAATAGAAGTCTCAGACATGAATATGAAAAATTACAGTGAATATGCCAAATATACATACAGGAGGAAAGACAACATCTTCAACAAAAGATCATAAAAAACTGGATGTGTACTTATAGAAGAATGACATTACACTGGTATCTGTCTCCTTGCACAAAAAATAAACTCCAAATGGATCAGAGACATGAATATAAAATCTGAAATGCTGAAATGGCTAGAAGAAAACAAAGTACATACTCTACAAAGTGTAAGAACAATAAGATACTTTATAAATAGGACTCCATTGGTTCAGTAATTAAGGCCAACAACTTACAAATGAGAATTCATAAAATTATAAATCTTCTATATAGCAAAATAAACAATTGAGTAAAGAAGAAGCCCACCATGTGGAATAGAATCTTAGCTATATATCTTGATAGAGGATTAATATTCAGGATATACAAAAACCTTGAAAAATAGAGTCAAGAAAACAAATGGTCCAAGGAAAAATGGGCTATGGATCTGAACAGAGAATTCTCTAAAGAAGAAATAAAAATGGCTAACAAATATCTTTTAATATGATCAACATCCTTAGCAACTAGAAAAGTGCATACAAAAACTACTTTGACATTTTATCTTACACCACACAGAACAGTTAACAACAACAGAACAATAGAGAACAAGTGCTAGTAAGGATTAGGGGAAAATAGAATACTCATTTACAGTTGAGATTACAAACTGGTGGAGCCACTAGGAAATCAGTGTAGAGAGTTCTAAAAAGGATAACTATAGGCTTACCATACGATATGATCTAGCTTTACCACTCCTTGGCAAATTCCTAAAGGACATGACATTCTACTCCACAGCTACTTGCTTAACTATGTTCAATGCTGTTTTATTCACCATAGCTAGGAAATGAAATCAATATAAATGTCCTTCAACTGATGAATAGAAAATGAAAATAGAACACATTGGGGTTGTACTTAGCTATAAAGGAAAATGAAATTCATGAAATTTTCAGGTAAATGGATGGGACTAGTAAATATTAATTACTCTGAGTGGAATAACCCAGTTCCAAGAAAAACAAATGTTGCATGATCTCACTTATCTGTGGATCCTAGCTCCAATTTTTAGATGTTAATTATATAACTGTAATAATTTCAGAAACTAGAAAAGCAATAAGAGGTCATGAAGGCAAAATAAGGAGAAGTAATAGTAGAAAGAGGCCAGAAGACAGAAGCACTATAAAAAGAGGAAAGACAGGAACTAACAGGCTCTAAGTGGGGAGAGAGGGCAATATAGAGGGAAACAGAAGAAAGAGGAAGTAACAGTAAGGGAGTTTGGAAATGCTATAGAGAGATGTATTATTTTGTCTATTCATGTGTATAAGTATATATATGTGTGTGTGTGTGTGTGTGTGTGTGTGTGTGTGTGTGTGTGTATCACATATTTTTATGGTTTCAATGAAGTTACAAAAAACAGGGTGACAAAGCTGCCACTAATATCCAGTGACTAACAAAATCCCCATTATAGATCACTACAGAAATCTACAACTGGTCAAAATGCAGCAGTCAAGTGACCATGGGGTGGAGCTTCCCAACTGATAGAACTACAGAGTCCTTATATGTAAGGCTCAGGGAACATCATAGAAGAAGGGGCAGAGAAACTGTAAAAGCCAGAGGTCCAGGATATCTGCTATGAGACAGTGTCTTTAATACATGACAGGGAAGATATACCTATGAAATATCAACAATACAGTCACCTAAATATGATGAGCACAATAACAATACTAATTGTAATTGCACGAAAGACATCATCCCTTAATGAAGAGCTACAGGCAGTTAGTTAATGGCTGATGGGAGAAGATTAAGTCTTCTCCTGGGATGAGTCCTATGATAAGTGATCCAATCCCACAGGATCAGCCCTAAACATATAAACACTCAAACAACACTACATTGACTCAACAAGTTTTAGTGTGTATGTTTACATAAGAACAATAATTGAAGAAGAGTTAATGGATTTGAGTGAGGGAAGGACACAGGAAGAGTTGGTGGATGAAATGCTCTAAGTACTCACATATGAAGTTATGAAACAATTTTTAAATTAAAAATCAAAGAACTGCAGGCAGTGGTAGCACATGCCTTTAATCCCAACACTCGGGATGCAGAGGCAGGTGGATCTCTGTGAGTTCCAGGCCAGCCTGGTGTACAGAGTGAATTCTAGGATAGCTGGGGCTACACAGAGAAACTCTAGGGAAAATCAAAAAAAGCCAAAACAGAGATTGCAGGGGGGATTGTATTCTGAATCAGTTTGATTTGGACTTTTCAATCTGAAATTGAAGTAGAGCAAAGGGCACTAAAATAAGTCTGTCTAAACAGTTATTACAGCTATTCAACTTCAGAGTATGTCTTTACTGTTACTGTCCCTGTTTGTTTTACTGAGACAATGTATCTCTGTATAGCCTTGACTTGCCTAGAATTAATTCTGTAGCCTAGGTTGACCTTGGACTCTACTCAGCTCCCAGACTGCAAAGATTACACATGAGTGCTGCCTTATCCATCCTGGCAAATGCTGAATATTTGACAAGTAGCTGTGGACAATTTGAAGATCTCATTTGAATCTCCAGGAATATCCAGGCTATTGATTATTAATTACTTTTCTAGATTTTTTTGCTTTATTTCAATGTTAAAGGGACTCTTGACCTTTTACCAATAAAGAAAGAATAGATATTCTTGAAAAAGTTTTATAAAAAACTTTATGTTTCTAAGTGTAAACTAAGAAAAAATGCTGTTACTGATGAAATATTAATTCTATTGTGCATTTGAAAAATGATTTTGAAAACACCATCTCTTGTCAGGTAGTGGTAACTGACACATGCCTTGATCCCAGCACTTGGGAGGCAAAGGTATAGTTGGACCTTTGAGGTCTAGGCCAGCATAGTATACTGAGAAAGTTCCAGAACAGCTAGGGCTATACAAAGAAATCTTTCTCAGAAAAACAAAAATGAAACAACAAAAAAGAAGAAATAAAATAAAAGTGCTTGCTTCGGCAGCACATATACTAAAATTGGAACGATACAGAGAAGATTAGCATGGCCCCTATAAAAAAAAAAAGAAATAAAATAAAAAATAAAATACCATCTCTGTGTTGGGTAAATAAGATCCAAAAGAATTTCAAGAGGCTGGTGAAATGGTTTAATTGGTATAGGTGGATCCATGCATGAAGCTCTAGGTTCAATCTCTAGCACTGAAAAAACTGGGTATGGTGCTATATGCCTGTAATCTCATCACTGGGGAAGTGAAGGAATATGATCAGAAGTTCAAGGTCATCCTCAATTACACAGAGTTAACAGCTCAATTAAGATTCACAAGACCCTGTCCAAATATATATAATCTGAGTCAGGCATGGTAATATACACTGTTAAGCACAGCACTTGAGACTTGAGAGGTGAAGCAAGAAGATTAGGAATTCATGGTTGTCAGTGGCTACATATCGAAGTTGCATGCCAACCATGAGGTACATGAGCTTCTGTGGTTTTTTAAAAATTAATTACTTTAAAAATTCTCAGGAATAACAGCTGGTGTAAAGAGAAAATAAAATAACCAATTTGGCTGCATTTAAATATTTACTGGGTGAGTAATTTTAAAAAGACAACTAACTTCAAGATCTAGTAGGATAGAATCCATACTCAAAACAAAATAATTGTAGGACTCTGGATGTACTCAGCTGCAGAACATATGGTTAGCATATGGGGTACCCTAGGTTTGATCTCTAGTACCACAAATCTCTCTCCAGTGCACTTGCACAAGTACACACACATACACACACACACATGCACACACACACACAGCCTCCAGAAACACACATGGTATCCAGAGATAGCATGCCTGTTTTTTATACTGATGTTTAATTTGAAAATGTGAAATGTTAAGATATCGAGGAATTGTTACCATTGCACTTCAGAAACAGAGTAAGAAGTGGATCTATGATGGAAATTAGATCTATAGATTTAGTCTGCTCCTTGGGAAGACTATAAAATGTGATAATGAAGAATAAAGAATCCAATAGCCTACTTTCCTTTGCTGGACTAAATACCTAAGAAAAATCAGAGAAAAGGTTTATTTTCTATTCGATTTTAAGGATTTCAATCCATGGTTACTTGGCCTGATCAATTTGGGCCTGTAATGAGAGCATGGTGAAACAAATCTGCTCACTTCTGAGGCCAGTATCTCTTACAAAACCATGCCTCCACTAACCTACCTTTCTATCACTGGGCCCCATATACAAAAGGTTACACCACTTTGCAGCTGGAGGCCAAGCCTTCAACTCAAGAGACTGGAGGAGTGGGGTGGGAGACGTTTAAGATACAAAGCATAACAAAGAGTTTTAAAGCCATAGTAAAATTAGTACAATTGATTGAACTTTGTTTTCTATTTTTAATAAAAGTCAAATCAATATAGAATACATCCAGTATTTAAATTGAAGTTTGAATATTTTGATTTAATTAAGTATTATAATACTAAACTATATAATGTAGATAAAATATTTTATCTTTGTAGTTTATGATGCTTCTGTGGAACTATAAATAAAACGTATCTCTAGGTGTCCCAAAGTTTTCTGTGGAATTATTTATCCTAAAGTATATTTTTATTCTTTAAGCATTTCATACATGTATATAATGTATTTTGATTAGATTTACCTTCAGTCCTTCCCTTAACTCCTCCCAGATCCATCTTCCATCTTCCTACCCCTTATCACCCTCTCCAATTTGTGCTCATATAGTCATAGATATGAGGCCATCCTCTGAAGCATGCTTAACTAACCAGTGATCGTGTCCATAAAGATAAACTGCCTTTCCCTCCATTAGAATGTTCCATGCTCTTAAAAGCTTTATTCCATGACTGAAACAGGGCACTTAGCAGATCAATAGGGTACTGAATTTCTAAAACCAATTAATGGCTGAGATGTCATAACACAGACATGAGAAATGAAGTTGGTACACAGTGTAACAGATGGTAGTAGTCCATACAGATGGTGGTTTGTGCTATATTAAATAACCTTGTAAAATGGAGGAAATATAATTATGTTTCACATTCCTAGTACCATATAAATTGTGATATAGATAAAATACACTACAGATTTTGGAATTCATTGGGTGTATCTTTTGGCTAAACGTGTTTTTTGATAGCTTTTCGATTACAAAATGATTTTTTATTATGGAGCACCATCTAGAGGAAATGTAGGAAAAAATACCAAGCAAAAAGGAAGTTAAATAAAAATTAAAAGCAGTCACCCAGGTGTGATGTATCATGACTGTAATCCTAGCTCTTGGGAAGTCAAAACAGAAGGATCACAAGTTCCAGGCCAGATTGGGATACATAGTGGGTTCCAGGTTACCCTGTGTTACATTGTTAAACTGTGCCTTAAAAAACAAAGCAAAACAATATTTAAAAAATAAAATAAACAACTCAGCTCAACAAACCAAACCAACACTTGAACACTTGTAAGATTATATATATATATATATATATATATATATATATATATATATATATATATTTGAAATT